TTAAGGAAGATGGTGCTGATTGTTCATGGCTTTCCGAATCGAATTTGTGCTCTTCGAGTAAGCAATTTTCGCAGACTTCAATAAGAAGATTTGTAGCCAGTGTATGCTGCAGTTCGAATGGGCCTGGCAACACCCAAAAAAGTCTCGTCGTCTCAGAGATTTGCATTTGACTCAAAGGTGCAACGAAACTCACCTTAACTACCACTTGCGTATCTTAGCTAGCATGTTGGCCATCGGTCCATGGAATCGTCTTCCTTTGACGTTGAGGTGGTTTCATGAAGTAAGTTATTTCTCAAATGCGTTTGCTGTTATATCGTTACTTTTAGCAGTACAAGATTCAGATGCCTTTCACTCCATCACGCCCTTCCCATATCCCTGAGGTTGCTGGTCAAATTAAGATCGTACGAAACAAATCAAGCATGGCGTGTTTTGATCAGGAAATTACTTGTCATATCTGTGCTACAGAAGTCACGCAAGTAATTTTTATCAGTTTCATATGAGTAGTCTGTAGTTACCTTAGACATTTACAGCATGCGCCCGTACGCTGTTCGAACGAATCCTGCAAAACATTTTTCCACAAGATCTGCCTTGCAAGAAAGTTCCTTGAAAACGAACCAAAGTTTTTGCTGCCGATTAGTGGTCATTGTCCAGTGTGCAGTACGCCCCTACTGTGGGGTGCACTGATAGCTGCCTGCAATGAAAACATCATAGATTCCAGTGACAGCGATATCGATTTCGAATAGATCTTTCTTTCATTATATATGGCTGTTTATACTGAATATTTCATGTTCATCTACTTACCGGCTTAAAATGGGTTTTCTTCTAGTCCTGTGCCGTAACGAATTAGACTAAATAAATTATTTTTCTACTAAATTTCTAAATATTTGTGTTAACCTGCTTGCTCGTGTTTATGTCATCAGCTCTCTTCTTGTGCGTTTAAGTGTGCATCAAAGTTTTCGTTGAAAAAAATTATTAATTATTATTCATGAAACAGATGGATCATGATTCATGGATCAACGGAGTCCGTTAGAGGTGCGCTTAAATTTTCGCAAATTAGATTCATTGAAACAAGAATTAAAAAATAGTTTTTAAGCACTGAGGTGTCGGTCTTCTTTACACTTTGGCGATTAGGTGCAATGTGTGACGTTCTTTAATGGAGAATATGATTCAGGGTAAAGCCCCATTGCTATTATCAACCATCAATTCTCTGTACTTTCATGCAAGATCTACGCCTATGTAACCACGCATGTAGTCTCTTGTTTCCTTCCTACGAATTCGCATTCGATTGGAAAATACCTCACGTGAAATTTTTCTGCTTGACTTTTCATCCACAGTAATTGAGGACATACTAGAACAGCTATATTGCCTGCAATGGTTTTGCTTCATGATAGTAATGAAGATGAATGTTAACGAACTACAGTATCTCATTAAGAAGTTGGCGCGTCGTCTGATTCTGTGGTCAGCAGTGAGAAAACCAAAATATTTTATGAAGATCTGATGTTTCTTTCTGCTACGCAATGCATAAAGTATCGCTATCAGTCATGTTTGGTGCAGCATTAATCGAGTTTACGAAGGATTTTGTCTGGCTGACAAATTCTTATTAAACAATAAGTTACTGGATAACATATTTTCTATGCCTTTGAATGTATACACTGGATTATAACCATACGTTTAAATATGCGGTGAAAAGGGAATTCTAGTATTTTATTACATCGTCGACTTCAGAGACAGACGATGTTCCTGCTTTTTCTGTTGCGCATTACCTGAACAGCTAGCGAAGTGAAGTGGATTATTGTCGAATTCTGCTCACAGCTAAATATGACATTGGAAAGTTTGGGAAGTGTTAGTACATCGCATACGGTACTTGAAATTTACGGTTTCGTGAAAAGTTGTATTTGTGTTGTCTCTATTTCCGTATATTATCCATCACCAAGTATCATTCGTATTATTTGCTGGCGAATCACATTCCCCTGTTCAAATGGTAGACAGCACCACCAGTACTCAGGAAGGTCAAGCAATTAGTTTCTTTGCGTTCAGGCACCAGAGGCAAGGTCTACGCCATTCCATCGTACGCTGAGGTTTACCGAAGGTCGATTCTACCATTTTTGTCTGTGACACTAAGCAGTCCGGAGAAGCATAAACGTATCATTGTGCATAGCTGGTAGTCTCAGCGTCCCAAGCGTTGAGTTCCTTTATTGATACTTTATGTATCATATAAAAATACGGCTGTTTGCTGATAGCAAACTTTATGCCTGAGCGAATAAACTTCTCTATATAAACTTTATCTTATGTTTTTCACGGATCTATCT